AATCTCCTGGATATTTTGTGTTAAGAATTTGTTGAATTAGATGTTTCCTTTGACCAATGAATCTATTTCTTCTATAGTATCTTCAACCCTGAAAATGTCTCTTCCATATCTTGTATTCTGTTGACTATACTTGCCTCTGTTGTTCCCATTCATTTGCCCATAATATTAGGCAAAACTATTTAAATTAAAAAGAAATGGATAAAATTAAATAAAATAGAAAGGATCTTCAACAAATGGTGCTGCCATAACTGACTTCAACAAGTAGAACAATGAAAATAGATTCATATCTTTAGCAATGCACAAAAATAAAGTCCTATTAGATTAAATAGCTCATTATAAATATGACCACACTGAACCTGATAGAAGAGAATGTAGAAAATAACTTTAATACATGGATACAGAAGACCACTTCATAATATAACAGTAGCACAAGCATTGAGAGAAACAATAAATAAATGGAACCTCCTGAAACTGAGAAGATTCTTTAAAGCAAATGGCAGTGCCAATAAGACACATAGGCAGCTTACTGAATTGAAAAATATCTTTACTAAACCCACATCAGACAGAGGAATCCAAAATATATAAAGGACTCAAAAATTAGACATCAAAATTCCAAATAACCCAATTATAAATGGGGTATAGAATTAAGTAGAGAATTCTCAACAGAAGACCTTCTGAGAGACAAAAGATACTTAAGGAAATATACAGCATCCTTAGTCATCAGTGAAATGTGGTTCAAAACAACTCTGAAATAGTTTACTTGAACTAGTCAGAGCTCACCAACTCCAGGAAGACAGAGAAGAAAACAACATAGGTCTTAACTAGTCCCTCTCAATTTGGGTGACAGCTATATGACTGAAGAAGACTGAGGGGCCACTATCAGTAGCAACAGTATTCCTCCCTACTGCTTGAACTCTTTTTTCTAGAACGTATTTTCTTTGGGTGAATACTTTGCTCAGCCTAGAAACAGTAGGGTGAACCTTAGACCTTCGACAAAGCATTGTGCCTTACCCTCTCTGAGGAGTGAATAGGGGTTGGGTTTGAGGTAGGTGGAAGAGAAGGGAGAAGGGAAGAGAGTGGGAACTGAGGTTAGTATGTAAAATGATGAAAAATATTTTGCTTTCTTTTTAAAAAATATAAAAATATAAAAAAAATCCTTAGCCATTAGGGAAATGCAAATCAAAATGACTCTTAAATACCATCTTACACTTGTCACAATGGCTAAAATTAAAAAAGCTGATGATACCTTTTGCTGTTTAGGATGCAGTGTAAGGGGAAAACTCCTTCATTGCTGGTGTGAATACAAACTTATAAAGCCAGTTTTCAACTCAGTACAGTGGTTTCTCAGCAAATTGGGAATCATTTCATGTCAAGGTTCAGCACTAGAACACTTTGTCATATATCCAAAGGAAACAGACCCATAACACAAGGACATTTGCTCAGCTATGTTCATATCAGCATTATTAGTAATAGCCAGAACGTTGAAAAAACATAGATCCATCAGAACTGACAATTTGATAAAAAATATATTGTACATTTACACAATTGAATACTACTAAGACATAAAATACAATGACATCTTAAAATTTGAAGACAAATGAATGAATCTAAAAAAAAAAAAGCCATCCTGAGTAAGGTAATCCAGACACAGAAATACAAAGAAGGTATATGCTCACACCAAAGTGGATATTAGATGTAAAGCTAAGGATAACAAGTTTGTAACCCACAGACACAGAAAAGCTAGGTATGTAGGAGAACTCTAAGAGAGTCATACATGGATACCCCTGCGAATGAGAAATAGATAAGAACTCTTAAGAAAATTAGGAGCTTTGAGTGGGGATGGAAGGAAATGGAGAAGATTAACATGGGGTAACAGAATGGTCAAGATGGTAGAAAGACTAAGAGACAGGGCAGAAAAAAAGATGAATTTTGATTATGGGAGCAATTATGGGACTAGAAACAAAGAGGGCATAGGGAAATTCTCTTGAATCCACAAGGATGACCCTAAGCTATGCTGGAGAGGGACCTGAGGTGGCCTTTCCCTGTAATCTGGTTGATGTCTACCTTAACTTTCACTATCGGAACACCATCCAGGAACTGATGAAAATAGATACAGTGATCCACAGCTAACAGTGAACCAAACTCGAAGAGTCCAAACCAAGAGAGGAAGGAGCAATAATCTGAGCAAAGGGGTCAAGACCATGATGGGCTACCCCCAGAAGCAGCTGAAGTGAGCTTGATGGAACTGACTTAATCCAGTCTGACAGTTAGAAACATGCATAGGCCCAAACTAGGCCCTCTTAAAATGGGTAACAGTTTTATGGTTTGAGAAGTCTGTGGGACCACTGGCAGTGAAACCAGGATCTAACCTTAGTGCTTGAAGTGACATTGTGGAGCCCATTGTCTTTGGTGGGATACATTACTCAGCTTAGATATCTGGGGAATGCCTTGTTCCTGCCTCAAAGTGATGTGCCAGACTTTGTTGACTCCACAATTGAAGCCTCTTCCTTTCTGATGCATGGATGGGGGTAAGGTGGGCAGAAATTGTTGGGAGTGGAAGAAGTGAAGGGAGCAGGTACTGGGATTGGTATGTAAAATGAGAAAGAATGTGTTAAAAATGCAAAATAAGCACTTCAAAAAAGGAAATGAAATAAACCAATATCATAGTATTTACATGCCACTCTGGGTTTTGAAACAATCAGTTTATTGCACATTTTTACAAGAATAAAAGAGTCCCAGAAACAGCTGCATCATGAAAAAGACCCACACTATAATGGGGTCCAACTTCCTTAAAACTGTACTGATGGTGCTTGCTCAGTTATTCCTTCTACAGTCTCTTGCAACTTTTAGAATATTGGCATATTTACAAGATTATCTGCATGTTGCTATTATATAAGAGGGAGTTCTGATGACTCCCCAATTTTAACTTATATTATGTTTAATTAAGGTAACTCATTTACAGATTTAGTGGTTCAGTCCATTATCATGATGTCCGTTATCTTGGTATACAGGCAGATAAGGTGATGGTGTGGTGGCCTGAAGTCCTACCTCTTGAATGAATCAGGAATTTGTCTGAGACATAGAGTAGAATTCTCAATATAGGAAACCTGGAAGCCTGACCCCAAAGTGACACAATTTCTCCCAAAATGACATACCAACTCAAAAAGTCACATTTCCTTATAATGTCCTATAAGATTATGGGGCCAATTATATTAAAAGAAGCATAGCTAACTTATCTCAATCTTAGTCTGATTTTATAAAATAAAATAAAACGCTTATATGCTTCAGTGTATTAACTTGGGTTCACCTCTGAGAGGCCAAAAGGATTCCATATAATTACTGAAATAAACAATCTGTTTCACAACTAGTATTTGTCCTAGTCTTCAGAATTGGATCTATCTCTTCCCCACACACTCTTTCTCTCAAAGTCTGCCTCCCCTGTTCTTGAGTTTTCAACTCCCTCTATTGCCAGACAAATGGGCTTAAATGTTCAAATATTCATCCACATAAAGAATTCCTTAATTGGCCTATTTTACTTTTTCTCCCTAGTTTATTTACTGTATCACATTGAATATCAAATGTAGACTGCTCCATCAAATAGCTTCTATTGTTCCTTCACAATTTGCATTCTTGGACCAGTTTAAATTTGCTCCCCCAAGTAGACCTGCCTTATATATTGCTCCATGTGAAGTCCACATGACCCTACTCCTAGAATTTTTCTCAGAACCTGGTCAGGTAATGAACAGACTGCTCTTTCCAGCCTAAAGCAACATTCCAGTTTCTTTGGCCCCACAAAACATGAGTGAGGTTCAGTGTCATTAGGAAATAGTCATAGACAAGGTTGCACATTGCTTCTTATAATTTATTTATTATTAAAATAAGGCTGGGATCCTAGCTTTTAAACCTGGGAAAAGTGGCTGAGGTGCCTATTTAAAATACCAAAGCAGAGTGAGGCCACCAGATTCTACCTGTATCCTTCAGTTCTTACCTGTTATAGGATATTTGTGGCAGGCATTTCCTTCCATCTACCTTATATATTGCATCCTTGGGGCTCTGCTTCTCTCTCCCAGCTATTATTCTGTGTATAATCTAACTATTTTAGTCACATGGGCCTTTCATCTCCCCTTAGGGCCTCTTGACTGATTCACTTGGTTCCCTCTCTCCTGTACCTTATCCCTCCATCCACTCCTCACATTGCTCAGGGTAATATTCACTCTAAACTCTCCCAGACACCTTGCCTCTGGTTCTGTTCTCCCACATATCTATAATAAACATTCTCCTCCACCATACTTGCTACCAGTCATATATTTTTAACTTTCATTTCTTTTTTTCATTAACTTTCAACCTTCTTCACATCCCACTGAGTTTCTTATAGCCTAGGCCTCAGCTGAACTTCAAGTAGTTTCACATATCTGTTGAGAACAAAGGCCAGAAATTAGATAAACCTAAAATAATAGAAGATAGAAGATATGATGATGAAAGTTCTAGGTTAAGAAAATGAATCATGTGAAACTACAAAAACAAAGTACATTTATGCCTGGTGTGCACAGATCAGGAAAAACAGAATATCTGAGACCTGTGATGGTATGTTGGTCACTCAGGGTTGTGTCTCTGCCTCTGTGGTTACCAGGATCCCATCATAATACCCCTGAGGCTTTGCATTGAATCTTATGAGGGTAAATATTTCCCAATACCATAGACCTTCCCTAGCATTTGATCCTAGTTTCCTCACCATAGTCATTTCTGTTATAAAAGGTGATTTTTTACAAGCAATTTATGTTGACTGTGTGGTGTATATATTTTATTTGTGCCAAAAGAGGACTTTGATATCACAATTTCACAGAACATAAATACAGAAAACATTATGTGAAATCTGTAGACTGGTCATATAAAGGAGCACTGAATTCTGTCTGCACCTGTTCCTGCACTGCCTCATGTGTGCACTGTGCCCCCTGCTGGTTCTGGGAGTTGCTGCAGGGAGGTTTGTGTCAGGGTTCACACTAAAATCTTATTACTGTGTTTCTAGCACAGTAATAAATGGCGGTGTCTTCAACTCTTAAGCTGTTCATTTGCAGGTACAGCATGCTTTTGGAGTCATCTCTTGAGATGGTGAATCTGCCTCTCACAGACTCTACATACTGTGTTGCATAATTATCAGGTTTGTGTTTAATCACTCCAACCCACTCTAGGCCCTTCCCTGGTGCCTGGCGGACCCAGTGCATCCAGTAATCACTGAATGTGAATCCAGAAGCTGAACAGGAGAGTTTCAATGACCCTCCTGGCTGTACCAAGCCTCCCCCAGTCTCTACCAGCTGCACATCACACTGGACACCTGCAAACACAGAAAATCTTGTCACAAAACTACAATATGTCCATTGTCACTCTCACTTATATTTGCCCAAATACTTAGCATCTCTCTTTATCTATAAATTACCTTTGAAAAGAGCAAAAAGGAAAATCCAGCTTAGCCAAAAGTCCATCTTAGATGTTCTGAGTTCAGGTCTAACAACAAAATGGGAGGTTTTGTGAGTGCAGACCTGGGTGCCTCTGTCAGAACTGTAGAGTCACGGCTATTTTTCATGAACAGAAGAAAAATATTTGCATATCTTCATAATATATGAGGAACTGAGTGATGTCCAACTTAGAGGAGACAGTTTTAGTACAGATGTCTGAAATAAAATAAGCACTGAACTAGCATTTATAGGATCAAATTATCACTTATTGTCTTAGGGACATAGCTCAGTTGGTAGAGGATGTTTTCCATGCCTGAATTTCCTGTGTTCATTCACATTCCTGCATATCATAGGATTGGGTTAATAATTATTTATATGAAATGGTGTAACAAGAAAAAAAGAAAAAAATAGTTGCCTGTTATGAGTTTATGGATTTGTATATTAATATAAGTTATCAGGCTTACTTAACTATTCATTATATTTGTAAAATCCTTAACAGATTTTCTGTATATTATAATCAGTGGTATAGTAAGTATATCATCCTGAAATCTCTAAGATTGATTATCTCCTAAAGTAAAGAACTACTACATACATATAAATACTATCTGATACTACTTTTGAACAATCACAAAAACACATCTTGAAGATATATGTTTTTCATTTAGTTCTTCCAGGTTCATACCAATCACAGATACTTGCACTTCCCCATCACAAAGCTAATCCCAGTCCTTGGTGACCTCTCAAAAAACTCCAGCGGGCTTATTTTATTCCATGCTACATCCTTCTACTCCCTGCTACCTCAAATATTTGCCCTTTTTACACCATCAGATAAGTCTACTCATTCACATTCAATGATCCACTTGGGGCCTTAGAGACTTGCCTGAGTTTCACCACCAGCTAGTCCAGATTCTTCTTCTTCCACAGTGCACTTGCTTCCTAAGATCATATCCTACATGCCATCATATCACTTTCGCTATTTTTCCCATTTTAGGCAATCTTCACCATGTTCATGTTTGTCTGTACTGTTGGATAAAAATTGTTCATATTTTCATATTTAGCAGGTAGGCCTCCTATTCCTCAAAGTTCGTGCTTCTTAGTGCTCACAGGCAGGCTTTTTTTTTTTTTCAGAGTTTTTCTTCCCCTTGACTTCTATAGCAGAATAGTAGTGTTTGTTTTTCTCCTGGATTTTCAGACATCAAACTTATATCCTCAAATAAATGTTCTAATACCTTTATTAAAAAAGTTTTGCTTTTTAGTTCAGGTGGAAACATAACAATTTCCTAAGAACAAGTGACCCTGTCATGCCCAAGTAAAGTTAATACATTTTCAAAGGAAACCCTACACCTCAGGCTCAGGAAAATAATTCAGGACCAGAATTTTTCTCTGAGATTATGTTTTCTACACATGACTGGGATGCCAACCCCATAAAATCTTGACAATATCTATGTCTAAATAGATTTCCAAGGGAAAAGAAAAAGAAAATCTCTAAGGTCCCCAATTTTAAAGGAAGAATACAGGTTATCAATATCTGCTGATAGTGAGAGAATAAGTTTTCTTCAAGAAGCAGCTCTTTAATAGATAACTAAATCTCAAGTGACAGCATTAGACTCATGTTTATATGTAAATATGATGAAGCTCAATATGTTAAGCATAAACAGAAAAAGAAAGATGGACAGTGAGAAAAGAAAGAAACTGTTAAAGGTTAACTTAAGTTGAAGAATTAATGAATTTTAGAGATAGTGAATTTTGAATATGAGAAGAAAATGAGTGAGGATATTGATGTGTGCAGAAATTAGATGAAAAAATTAACAAAATATTTTAATTAAAAATTATGTAAACAAAAATGAATTCTCTCATATCATACTCTACTCCTTAGTTAGTAAGATTTGTTGTGAAATCACAGAATGGGAAGGCATGAGAGAATCTAGGATTAGGTTCATGAGCCAGAGGTGCAGGTTCAAGTCTGTCCTGGTGTCATGAACACAGGGAGGATTTGATTTCATTTCCTGCTGCAGTATAATGAGTTTTGTACTGAAAATATTAGACATATGAATGCTCATAGCAAAGGAGAGAGAGAAAATTGAGTAGAGAACAAATTAAGAATTATCCAATATTTATTATATATTTGGGATATAATTCAAAGACATATTTTAATATGTTTTTGACAAGAAACAGCACTCCACCTTATTTGTTATACTGAGGACATTATAATACACTGTTGCCAATTTTAGAAGAATTTTACAAATTTTACAAATTTTGAATCCAGGTATGAAGTTGAAGAAAGAATGTTCAAGGGTTTAGGTTACTGTTGATTGATGCAAAATGACTGGTGTGTGATACCCAGTGCTGAAATCAATGATATTTGAAGTCTATAAAATATTATTTTTCCATCAATACCTTCTGAAATTTGGATTATTAAGATTGTATTTATTGGTAGTCTGGTGCGGGCTGTGTTGGATTTAGAAATCCTGTACATGAGGTCACAATTTTTTTTACTACAAACATGCATAATTTTATTTTAAATCTCAAAACATTATAATAGTATTAAGAGAAATAGTTAGGTAACACAATTCAAGAGTTTTATGATAAATGTAACCAAATTTAAAATTTAAAAATCAACTTAAAATTTTTCTTCTTACAATCCATGAATCCTGATACAGACTTGAGTTAGCAGACATTTGAAGTAGCTTCAAAAAAATCCAAAAGACACCTAACAAATCTTCAACATATTTGGCCAGTCATAAATCTATTTTTTATAAAATCATACAAAACCCAGAGGTAGACATCTGACTTGACAGTGGAGTTCCTTGGAGATAGTATTTCTGGCTAACTTTTACATCTTAATTTAACCCATCTTCATTAATCTGTGCATCGCCATGAGGTTGTGGCCTACCAGCAAAGTTTCAGCATTTCTGTCTCCCGTCGAGGTTTAATGGCTTCTCTCTGACTCCACCCTTCTTTCTTCCAGCAATCAGTTTAGTTTTCCCTACCTAGCTCTCTTCTACTGTATCAGGACAAACCAGTTTTCTTTATTCATTAGTTGTAATCACATCATACAGAGAGGAATTCCACATCATCCCTGTGTTTCTTTTGACCATAATGCTCTTGATATATAAGAGTACGTGTGATATAAGGGGTGTGCTAATGAATTTAAGGTGAAATAAATGATAAGCAAACTGGGAACTATTTCTTTTATCTATTAGAAACTGATTCACTATTAACTAGTTTTAGTTAATATTTTTTTAACTTGAAAAATGCTTAAAGTTATAGCCTCCACAGTTAAAACAAGCAATTCTTTATGTTTGCTTTTATGCTGTTATGCATAGTGTGTGCATCTATCATTGTTCATGAGGCCTTCATCCACACTAATAATTAGGAACCAGAGATTCAACAATGAATGAAAGCTATGAACTAACCAGCAAAAAGGTATCTATCCAGTGTATGTCCTTACCTCAGAGAGAGCTAAGCAGTCTGTCTTACTCAACTGCATATCAATGCTTACTACAAATGTTGCAATGAGCTTTCCTTTGTGTTTAAAGAGGATGTCTTCTATCTATATAATTCTACCTACTGTCATCAATGTAAGAAATCAGTGACAACTGACTATCTCCAAGGAACTCCACTGTCGAGGTCACAATTTTGAAACATGCATAAAACTCAAAGTTAGGTCATGAAAACAATCTTAATTAAAGGAGTATAAATACTCTCTGAGATTATTATTTGACCAATAATAAAAACATATTGAATACTTGTGTTTGCCCCTTAGCTCTTCCAGAGGTAGCTTCCCCAACAATGCAGACCCGATTCTCCCCATCAAAAACACACTCTCAGCTCTCTGTAACTTCATTAAGTTCCCTGGTATTTCTATTTAATTTTATGCTTTATTCTGTTGTCACACAGATCCTCATGGACATGCCTATCACTCTTCATTAGTCAGGTCAACCGTTTCTCACAAAACAAAACCCACCTGTTCCTTTAAATACCCACCAACTTACATGAACCACCAGATAGTTAGTCCATTTCCTCTATTTCCCCCACCTTACTCTTTTCCAATGACATATTTCATCTTTCCATAATGATGTCTTTGTTTTTTCCTGCAAGTTAGGCAATCAGCTCCATGGTCTTGCTTCTCTGAACTTATGAAAACTCATTGATATTACATACCAATAGGCTTCAGCTCCTCTAGGTTCTTGCTTCCATGTGCTCCTAGATTTCTTGGCTTTTTACAGAATCTTTCATGCCAATGCCTCCAATTATACTTGCACCAACTCATGTTATAAAATGTTTTCTCCTCATGATCTCAGAGACCCTGTACCTATTGATCCAAAAGTCTCGTGACTATAGAGTTAACAAAGCTGACCAAATGTAGAAATTCCAGACTTAAAGAGATACAGAAAAAAGCCAAGTGAGGAGAGGACAATCAATGGGTTGTTTTGATCCTGGAATAGTGTCAATTCACTTAAAGAGTACTCTTTAATACCAGTTGAATGAAAGAAAATATGTCTCAACCTTCTCAAGAATCAGTCCCCTACTGAAAATTGTATATACCAACACTGTAAAAATAAAAGGATTTGAAAAAAAAAATGAATTTCTCAACAAATAATTATAAACTTAAGAGTCTCAGACCAAAATTCAGCTGACCCCACTGTAATCCAGAACAACATTAAAAATTTCAATGGAAATATATCCCCTGAAAAACTGGATACCCTGGAACAAATAGAAATTCTGAGTTCATATCATATACCAAAATTAATCCTCAAATATATAAAAATATTTAACAACCAATTATCAATAAATTGGTATTGTTCTTAAAAGCTTCATCTTAAAGAACAGTTTAGAAGCAGAGAAAGTCACTGTTGAATTGTCTCATTTCCAAGGAAGACTTAGTAACACTTCTTCTTAACTGCCGTATGATATAAAGTGACTGAACATTTAAATTCACTTGAGGATTCCTGTATTATCTTGCTACGAAAAAAGCATGATGCAAAAATAATGAATGTTTCCCTTGATAAATATATATTCAAATTTCTTAGTAAAATAATTGTAAATCAAATTTAGTAATTTCAATAATACAAACAAGTGGACATCTTCAAATGCAAGGTTGGTTCAACCTACATTTTTCTATC